TCTTCTAATAGCCTAATCAGCCCGTAATCGTACATCTAAAGCAATAAAAACCCATTAAATTATCAAGAATTAATTTGGACCCCTCATTCCGCCTCAATGGACCACAGAAGGGACTAACAGCCGACACACGTACATTCTACAATCAAACACTATTGTCGCTACATGCATTAAAAACTAGTAATTTTCAATGAAGAATTATTTCCACTATGGGGTCCGCAGGGTCCACAGATGAGAATAATTTAGTTGTCCCTCTATTCGGGGTCCCGTAATGACAACGTACATGGGGCACTGCTGGATATGTGCGTTATTAGATTCTGCTGTTTTATTAAATGTATATTGGAATTTATATTGTATTATATTTTCGTTAGGTCTATGAGATAGTATTTTGATTCATTCGAGGTAGCGGTTATGTCTGGTTTCAATAAGTGAAAACAAATTAAAGACTTTGACTAATTGCTTAGATGGGTGGACGAGCTCACAGCCCACCTGGTGTTAATTGGTTACCGGAGCCGTGAGACATGAGTTCTAAGATCTCAGTTACAGCGGCTGCCCCGCCGTTCAAACCGAAACGCATTACTGCTTCACGGCAGAAATAGACGGGGTGGTGGTACCTACCCGTGCGGATTCAAGACGTCCTACCACAAGTGAAAAAAAATTTAACAAAAAATAAAATCGCAAGTGGCATGTCTTTATACTGTTTTAAACCTCAAAAAGCTACGAAGCCACGGAGTGAAACTCATAACTGTCGAAATATCTGTAGAGATAAAACAACATCATATCAAACACAAACAGTGGGACAACAATGTATCACGCTAAAAAAAACAAATACAAAAATATATCTCGACAGAAACTCAAACATAGATAATACCTTGCCACAGATTCGGAATACTGCTGTAGTACACTTTATACTTTATTTACTTACGAAAAGTTTCGGAAACCATGGCATCAGGGTAAACCAAAGCGAAATATATTAAAACCCTTCCGCTAAATAATCCCGTACGAATCCCCATTGAAGATCGCAGAGAGACATTCGTCATGTAAATCCTATTGTGAGAGCAGCGGGAGTGAAAACAGCAAATTTCAATTTGGAGATAACCGGATCTGGGAGCGAGCGTGGATTAACGCCCTCGCAAACCTCAGACACGCGTCAATGAAACGCTATTTTTAATCATTAATTCATCAACTGCATTTACTTTTTCTTCGTTGTTAGGATATAACAGAGCAGTGTGAGCATAATCGAACGAATATCGAAGGATCTAGAATGCTAGAGAATTACAACGCCATCTATTGTCAGATAGCGGAAACTGCTACTAGAGAGGTATGGAATATTCTCTATAATTCTAGGGATGAGGTATCGGATATAAAAGCGTTGTAGGGATGGCACGCAGTCAGTCAATAATCGGAACTACTCGAAGCGAAACAGCGAACGGATCACCTGAAGTGAAGCGGGACAAGCGAATTGAGAGTTTGTTGAGTGTTTCAAACTGTTTGTGAAGTGTTTAAGTGTTTTAAGTGTTGAATACAGTTTTTATGTTGTAATTTGATGAAATTTTATTTATCCCGAACCCCAGCGCGTAACAATATGTCATCGTATACAATAAATCCATAGAACATCAAAATTCAGAGCCAATTCAGTCAGAGAAATTATGTATATCCACTGATGTAAATTTAACTACAGCAATATTTTCTGTGGTTTTAAGTTACAGGCAATGCTAAAATCTTAAAATGTTAAATATTTTGCTAGCTTGTTCTGTGCTAGAACTGTGATGACTAAAAATATGATTTCTTTTGAATTCTTCCAATTCTTGACTGACACAAATGGCTAATTGCAAGATTGGATTTTTTTAAATCTTCATTAAGTCTTCTTTCATATAAATCTTTTCTTGGAAATTACGAACACACACAACGAAAGTGATTTCGTTCATGTCAATGACCCTCAAAAAGAAGAATATATGGATCTTATAGAATGATTGGTACACCACAAACCCACATTGAAGCATGAAATCAAAATCATAATAATGTATCACAAAACAGCGATCCAGTTCTTCAAATGACCAGATTTCGGGTCCAACTTGTAGGAGAAAATAGGCAGGAAATGTCTAATAGTGCAGTAATTTAATGAATATACGAGTATATATACAACGAATCTCCATGCGTTGGACTGATCAGGGGAAAGACTTTACTGAAACCTCACTTAACGAGTGTGTGCGCCGGGCCTCGGTTCGCAAACTGTGGAAAACATCTGTCAACGCTTTAATGAGCAAGAATTCCACATGACCACGACTGCTCTGCCAAGAGCAACCGATTATGATGATGATACATACACCTAAAATATATACCAATACAGTAACTTAGCAAAAATGTGCTTATGGGGAAGAATTTTTTTTTCAAGGACATTCCTTTAGCGCGGTCACTCGTGACCGTGTCAACGAACTTGTTCGATGAGTTATTTTAGGGAAATAGTACATACACACTCTGTAGTAACCCCAGCTACACTTAGGAAATAAAATTTTGTCATTCGTACTTTTGAGGCCTCTTTATTCACGGGCCGGTTTTTTTTTAATTGCTTTGATGGGTGGACGATCTCACAACCCACCTGATGTTAAGTGGTTACTGGAGCCCATGGACATCTACAACGTAAATGTGCCACCCACCTTGAGATATAAGTTCTAAGATCTCAGTATATTACAACGGCTGGCCCACCCTTTAAAACCGAAACGAATTACTGCTTCACGGCAGAAATAGGCAGGGCAGTGGTAGCTACCTGCGCGGACTCACAAGAGCTCCTACCACCAGTAACTCACAAGAGGTCCTACCACCAGTAAACTCACAAGAGGTCCTACCACCAGTAGGCATAGTACAGTTTACCTGACAAAATCCCCAATCTCTTAGATGCGAACCAACTCATACCCGCATCACGCGATACGGATACACCATACCGAATAATATACTTCAAATAAGTGTACTACTAACGTCAATTTACCAGTAACATTCAAAAGCACCCGTCGAACCATTGGTTCAAAAGCTCCCTTCTCACTAAGCTTAACGAAACGCACTTGTGACATTCAGAAGTGAAAGCGGGCGCGCAATTACTTTGGAAACTACAGCTATACGAAAAGTTAACATATTTGGCAAAATATATTTTTAATTCTTTTATTAATTACTAGAGGTCCGGCAGTAGTCGAAATTCGACTATAATTAATTGGAATTGTAAGTTTGTACACTATTATGATTGTATTTTATACTTCTATAATCACAAACTTCGCCAAGGCTACACTATAAAAAAATATTAATAAAGACAAACAATATTTAATCTATTCTCAATTGGATAACAGACGCCAGAACAAAAGTTTGACAATAAATAGTATGCATGCGTGTGTTCGTCAAATACATAGTATGTAGTGTGTGTAATATTTTCTTTATTGATGTAATATATCTTTTATGCATTATTTAAAAAAAAAATTAGCATTGTGCACTTCTTCTCTATATTCTCTATAAGTGTGCAAAATTTCATACTCCTCCGTCCGCGCAATTTTCGTAAAAAGGGATACAAAGTTTTTGCTTCACGTATTAATATATAGATACTTTTTTAATTCTTTTATTAATTATAAAAAACACAAAACCGCAATTCACACATTCCGTGCGAAAATCTCACATCCTCCTGACATGTTAATACTAGCGTTGAATAAATAATTCATTTGGTTAAAACGTATCACTGCACGACATTGTTCCTTTAGAAATTATACACAATCGAAATTATACTTTAGATCTACTGTTAGATAGAGTTTAATTTTGCCTGGCGGACATTAGCCGGATTTAATTTGGTCTTGATTTATTTGCTTCCCCTGTTTTGCTTCATTTGGTTAACGGTTTTGTTAGTTCATGTACTTAACTCGGATTGATGGAGCATCCGGTTCTTTGTTTTACGAAATCTTATTGTCTGATTCAGCAGAGATTATAATATTAGAAGGATCATTATGTACATAAATAGTTAGCAACAATATTCGATGAGATAGTAAATGTTTTTGTTTAACTGCTAATTTGTAAGGAATAAACTAAATAAATGATTTAGATGTCCTTTTTCAAACTTAACTTAACTTAACGGTAGAGAGCAGCTTGGCTCTGCCCCTGGCTTTGATGAAGTCCACGGGTGACGATAACCGCTCAGCATAAGGTAGGCCGTACGCTTGTCTAAGGTAAGGCAAGAAAAAAATGAAACGCCTGTAAATGCGTCAATAGCTTTCTCTTCCAGAAGATTGCTTTCTTCGTCCTCAATGAAAAAGACTGATACAACATGAAACAGCTTTCGTAATACTGTTACGCGCTGGAGTTCAGGATAAATAAAAAAATCTACCGAAGTACAAGTTTACACTGTATTAACACTTAGAACACTAAAAACACTTTAAAATTCTCAATTCGCTTCTTCCGCTTCGCTTCAGGTGATCCGTCCGCTGTTTCGCTTCGAGTAGTTCCGATTACTAACTGACTGCGCTGTACCATCTCTGCAACGCTTTTATAACAAACATCACATCCCTAGAATTATCGAGAATATTCCACACATTTCTAGTATTGTGTTTCCGCTTTCTGACAACAAATGGCCTTGTACTTCTCGTGCGTTCTAAATGTCGTCGTATTCCTCAGTTCTGAGGGTCGTGACCTTTATTGAGCACTTTTCTTAGGACTATGTTCCTCCATTCACTTCTGTCCTCCGCGCATACTATAAGATGCTACTAAATTCTTCGATATTCGTTCGACTATTCAGCAATAGATGGCGTTACTCTTACCGGCCTAACAATACTCTCAAACATTTCACGTTGTCTAAAAATACCAATAACGATGACGAAACTTTTCAGTTTACTAATCACTTGCAGCATAGAAATTCATAGCATATTACCAGCGCGACAAGATACAGCTTGTTACTGCCGGAAGTCATTAAGCCTTACAGCATACACCGAATTTTGACGATCACGCAAAAGACATACTATTCGGCTCTTTTTCTTCTAAATTTGTTCTCTCGTCGCGTATTGGAGTTCTTTATCACTGTCGTTGGAGATGCGTTCCGATATGTCATTCAGCGGCTGTATCGGGTCCTCGTACGTGAAAAATTTTTCATCTAGTACCAAACACTTTGGAATTTCTTTGATTTTACAGTATGTCTTTATTTGTTCACCGAATTTGACTTTTTGTATTCTTTGCTGATTGGAGAATGCGAGTGGTCCATCTGGTTTCCAACGTTCGGATTCCACTTTGACGCACGAAGTCAAAATAATAATTATATTGTTCATGTGTATTACTAACCGGTGCGCGTTCAAGTTAAGGGTTCGGCCAATGCTGTTAGGAATCGTCATGAATTTATTATTATATTCCTTTGAATACTGTATATAATATGTATGTGTGTATTTATGTATGTATATGTGTATATGTATTTGTATGTATATATATTTATGTGTATGTATTTGTGATTTCATATAAATTTCATTACACCTCTACCACTAGTTACTCTTCTGCACTACCTTTGGTTGATTAGTAGAGAATGCCCTAGGCGTTAAGTTCGCCAATGTATATTTTACATGAAGTGTAATAAATATGAAAATAAATAAATAATTATGAAAATTTTAGTTCTAAACGCATGAAAACGATAGGAATTAATTACCAATGTAATCACAATATTTCTTTTTTTTTATGGGCCAGTGGTCGAACCTTCGAGAACTTGCGAGCTCCCCGTGCCCAGGGTACGCGCGGAGTACATGTGTGGAAACTTTTTTTTTTCTGGACGGTCCGCAGATTTTCGGGGCGGACCGCAACCCATGGATGGTATTTAGGGCCCTACCCACTATCACAATATTGCCTGCAGAATACAGAAATATATTTATATGTATACAGAAATATGGATTTTGGAACGAGGTTCCTTATGGGACGATGCGGAGGGGTACCCTTGCCTGGAAAAAACGTCCGTAACGTAAGATTTTTATTAGTAATGCACACAGTGTACGACTTAAGTTTGTCATCTCGTTTTTACCATCGCACCGCCCGCCACCGGAGTAGAGTTCATCCATACTACCTGGAGCCACTGCGGTCATCCACAGTGCGTTTCCAGAGATCTTTTTTGCCACGTACCATCCGGCTATGGAATGAGCTCCCCTCCTCGGTGTTTCCCGAGCGCTATGACATGTCCTTCTTCAAACGAGGCTTGTGGAGAGTATTAAGCGNAATGTGTTCTACAAAGTCGTAGTACATTATTTTATTCTATCACTAGCGACCCGCCCTCGCTTCGCTTCGGAAACATTAAAACACACGTGAAAAAAAAAAAAAAAAAAAAAAAATAATAACGTACAAAAAATAACATATTCTTTATCATTCATTGACCACGATCTCAGAGCGCTCGTTTGCGCAATACACTAACTCTTATGCAAACAACCGTGAATGAAGTGTACCACAATAAGTTCGCACGATACCGAATGACCGTGGGTTGTTGCGAAACCTCCAGTTTTATTTTCTTTATACCTCGAATAGAAATTAAAATCAATATTTTTATAATAAGGAACTTCGTTCCTATCCGGTGTCCCACGACACCACACTTTTTTTTAATTTTTCGTTTTCCAGAAAGATTCGTTCCAGAGCTGGATGGGAGAAACTCCAACTATGATGTTAATTTCTCTGAAGTGGTAATCTTTAAATACCTATCTCCGAAGGTGTACGGTGCGGTAGATGGTAATGAAAATAGTTCGATGTGATTGGCTGCCTCTTAATATCGCACGGAAATAACAGTTCAAAGAATGGCTTAACGTCAAATCCTCATTTTACGAGTGTTCAATAAAAAATTCTGACAATACCGGCGGGCGGAAAATTTTGCGGAAACCAGATATAATGCGACGTTGAACCGAAATGGATTATGCAAGCTATAAGACTTGAGCGGGGAATAATAAAATATTTTATTTGCAAGAGACAGTAAACATTTTTAGGTTAGGCAATAGATGGCAGTGTAGGATTTTAGTAGTAGATTGCAAATCGGTACAGGTGAAGTGAGGTAATATGCTTTCATGGATCGGGGCCAGAAGTTTTTGATATCGGCTGAGCTACTAAATTTTTTTTCCGCGATCTAGTATCTAAGATATACGATTAGGTATCATCAGGCTGCCTATTTCTGCCGTGAAGCAGTGATGCGTTTTGGTTTGAAGAGTGGGGCAGCCGTTGTGACCAGACTGAGATCATAGAACTTATATCTCAAGGTGGGTGGCGCATTTACGTTGTAGATGTCTATGGGGTCCAGTAACCACTTAACACTGGGTGGGCTGTGAGCTCGTCCACCCATCTAAGTAATAATTTTTTTGACTGCGTATGTTCTTTTAAGAATATACCGTATTAAGTAGATAAGATGGAATCGTTTTTTTAAACCAATCTATTTATCTACCATGTGTGCTAACCAAACCCTTGAAAAATATTTAAATAGGTAATAACTCAGCACCGATCAGCTTTCATATCTTGCCAATTTTATGGCAAAACTTGTCGAGTATTCTGTAGTCTAGTGTGTAGGACTGTGGTCATTCCAATAAATCTGATAATAATTCGACTTACACCAAAAACGTAAAACAGACGTCATTAGGTAGATGAAAGTTGAAGCTGCTTATCAACGTTAATAAGAACTACCTAATGATTTGCAATGTAATACAATTAATAGCTTAAGTCGAAAGCTTAAAGTTACAAGCATGTTTACGATTACAAAAAAACACATCGAACAATGAAAAATACAAAAATTAACTTAGTTTATTTAAAATAAAAAAAAACGCTTGCTTTTATAACTTAAACTGACAAAAGAAACACCAGACAAATTATCCGCTCTTTGCTTGTGAATTATTAAAATAATACTTTTGCAGGAAGTCCTGATGATAAAGGTTTCTAAATATTACGAGATCATTCTTCTGCTTGTTTGACATTTAAACATTGGTACCGGTGTAGCAAAGTGATTGACGGACAGATGAGAATCTTTCAATCACTTTATGAGTGAATAATTAAAATGAATGTATATGTAGACATTATACAGTTAACTGAAATTTGACATTTAAGTACATAGGTAGCCGATTTTTAACCTATTGCTCACTAACAAGCTACTCCAAGCTCCCTCTGCCATGCTTGATCATTCGCAAGACAAGAGACTATGCCAGCAGATGATTGAAAAAACATCGTTGTTCTTCTTTCTAGAGAAAGAAGTCAAATGAGTCAAGCAATTAGATTACAAATTTAGCAACTTGTCATTTATCGGAGCTAATTTAACGAGTTTTGTTTTCATTTTGCTATTCTTAATTTTACTATCGGCAAATAAATTGATGACACCAAAACTATGTCAAAATAAAATAAAAAACTTTTAAAACGAGTCGCGTAATTGATTTCCTGCCGAAATAAGTAGGATGGTGAAGGTAATCTAATCTCATCTACCTAGCGGATGACAGAGACTAAGAACCTTAGAAAGTGGAAGTCTTTTCCAGAGTTTAGACAAATTCTTTCTAGAAAACCGAGAGACAATAGGTACAAAATGCCTTTGAAGAGTTTTTTGGCTACCGTACACTTCTTCAAGAAGGGTATTGAAAAATGATAACTGTGCTGACAACGATTCATGAATTAACGGTTTTGATTCATTTAAATAAACAATACTAACAAAAAAATGCCTTAAACTTTCGATCCACTAAACGGCAATTTAATAGGTTTCATAGACCTTTTTTATTTTTATGTTTTATTGCTTAGATGGGTAGACGAGCTCACAGCCCACCTGGTGTTAAGTGGTATCTACAACGTAAATACGCCACCCACCTTGAGATATAAGTTCTAAGGTCTCAGTATAGTTACAACGGCTACCCCACCCTTCAAACCGAAACACATTACTGCTTCACGGCGGAAATAGGCGGGGTGGTGGTACCTACCCGTGCGGACTCACATGAGGTCCTACCACCTACTTACCACCAGACCTACACAAAAGTCAAAAAGTTTCCTCCGATAACGAATCCTTAATCCAAGAAAACCGTACGTACACGCTAATGCAATTACCAATACTCAATTTGTCAGATTAACGTTGGGCCAGATGAAATCATCGGTCAGGAACGTCCGGCAAAACATCAAATCGCACGGCTATCGACAATTGCGTTGTTTATTGGGGTCTTCAATGATTTATTGTCAACCGTTGACAACGAAATGTCGCAAGTCCATCCGGGATTTGTAAATGAGAGTCATTATTTACACGACCGTTGGATTGCACATTTCCGACTGTTTATGGACGATCGTTAGGATATTTTTTTCATTAAAACGCAAAAATTTCTGTTACGTATTTAAATCACAGGTTAACGGCCTAACATTTTATAACTTGAAATATTTTATTAACACTCAACATTAACTTTGATCTAACTAGACTGCACATTCTATTGGTTAATATAGACGAAAGAACTAGATGAAACAAAATATCAAGAGTTACATTATGCTTTTCTTTAGTCCCATACACAAACTACATACTCACAGTTAACCTAGTTTTCGTCATTATCAAACCCCACTCTTTTCACATCATGCATACCACCACCTAAACATCTTCTAGTGTCTCAATTATATTAAGAAATTGCTATCCTACCGTCAGAACGAAATGCCTGAGTGCTTCTCCCCAGAAATATACAGGATGATTATCCCTTCCTGGAAGGGCTTACAATGTGTCCTGCTTCTAATAATTTGGATAATTTATTAATTTAATTGTTTTTTAACAAATTATTCAAAATCAACCTCTACTGGACACGGTGGCACATAGATCAAATCTCTGATCTGTCACAGGTAATACAGACGTAACTTGACCAAGTTCGAATATTTTTTACAGAATATTTCAAGTATGTAGTCAGTCAGTAGCTATTTTTTTTAATACCCTAATCATGGACGTCGACAAAAAGTCCTTGGCCGCATCCCTACGTTCCTTATGGCAAGTCCTTAGCCCAGTTCCGGCGCTCTTCAGCCACACTTTACACTCCGCTCCACCGAGTCCCTTTCATCAAGCCAGACCTTACATTCGCCTGATAATTACGGTACTGAATGTGACCTGTTTTCAGATGTAGGTGTGATAATTAACTTGATTAAATAGTTGCTATTGAGCCGTAAACGTGTCTAAGTATAAGTTTTGTTTTGTGATAATTGAAATAATCTCGTTAAAAGTTGTTTGAATTGAACATTTTTATTGGCATTGGCAGGACTATGATTTTGGAATATTCTTGAATGCTTACTGTTTTAGTTTTACTGATATTTGAATAAATAAATGCTTTCGACAAGTCAACCAAAGAAAAAGAGAGAAATATATTTTGTAGTGTAGATATTATTATATTTTACATATATTTACTTTTCTAGATGGATTTTACACATTTAACATGAGATATTTCGGATTAAAGCTAAATTCATATTTACTGAGGAAAATAACACATGTGATCAAAATCAGATAATATCAATATGGGGTCCGTGAATTTTTTTTAATATGAGAATCAAAACGTGTCAACTAAGGTCAGACATTAGCAAAATTGAATGTATCAACCTAAATAGAACATGTTTGCTATTTATCGATACAAACTAGGAGAAAAATATCCCTAACATACACAGTCACGAAACGGCTTTTTTACAGTTTTATATTTATCATATCTTCAAATCTGTTAAAATAACAAAAGTGATTGTAAAAATAAATCACTCACCCGTTTGTTGTCCCGAAACTTCAGCCATCCGCTAATCACACTATTGTCCACATCACAAAATTCTTCATCTTCAAACTTCCGCGAAGGTATCGGAGACCCACCGGGACTGTCCACTTCCCTTCTCCTCATTACTGGAGTACATTGTTGTGATAGTCTACCCTCGTTCACAGCGTCACTACGTCTCCCGAGAACCGGAGTGGTATGAGTGGAAACTCCACCTAAGATTCCTCGTCTGTTCAAAAATGGACTTCCCTCCCAGCCCTGTCTTTTGTTGCTTTTACATTCCGAATGGAGGCATGGAGCGTCGAAGTTAGCCAGTTCTACTGAAACCCTGGTCTGGAGACCACTGGGGTGGGTGGTCAGTATGGTTTGTTTGGCGATACTGCAGCCATGACGATGAAGTTCGTCTCTCCTCTCCATTTTCTATTATGGGATCTGGAGCCCCCGCATTCGTTTGGATTTCATCTAGAAAAAAAAAACACATAGGCTGTTATTTATACATATCTTCAAAGCAATTTTTCCTTATATTAATGTTGACGAGCAGAGGAATTCAGAACTATAGTAAATAAGTGGAGGTTATAAACTATATCTACATATATAGGTTTCAATCCTAGTCTTAATAATATATTTTGCGTAAATTAAGAATTAGTACCTATTGTACTATAGAAGTGTCCGATGAAATTGGACCTGATGTCACTACCATAGTTCCTTTGGTTGTCCCTTGGTAACAAGTTGCTTCGTCACCTGTTTTCGTCTAGGAAGTAGCCAATGGACCCCCAAAGGCTACAGATGGAACCCATTATATAGGGTGGGAGTAGATATTTGCTGGAAAACTAGCGCTTTCGCTCCTAACGTCACATAAATACATCTAAAGGGGAACACAAAAATATCATAATCTTCAAAGCAAATCCAATCCTTTGGGGCATACGTTTCCTAGCGTATAAAACACCCGATAAATTCGTATCGAGTGATAAGACTGTGGGTTTAAAAATACGAATCGAACAGATGATCATGGTCGAAGCTCACACGAAGGAAAAACTTTGTGTTCTAAAACGTAAATATTCGCTATTACCTCGCAGATCATCAATATATTCCATTGGAACACCGTTGGTAAAAAACAAATTTGAAAACGATACACAGATTTACTTAGTTATGAAGATTGTTTTGCCATTAAAAACCATTCCCTACATTAAAAAGTTTAATTTACCGCATAAACCCAAATACCCGATATTATTAAAGCCATAAATTCAACCATTAAAGATCGACCCTCAGAACTAAAGCCCTCAACTTCATTACAGAGTTCAATTCGACTCCTAAAATGACATTAACATTCTAATATTTGGGAGATTAGAGGCCGTTCCATTGTAATAAATGACCCGGGATGACCTTCCTGTTAACAATGCTTCCTTCGTTTTGTAATCGTTAATTTTGAAGTCCCCTTTTCATCAGGAAATAGACGGAGCGTCTTATTATACAATTATGCTGTAGCACTCTGTTTGAACTTGAGTTAAGGTTCGCGAAATGGAGTGCCATTATTTTAGATATCTTCAGAATTGAATGTTTAATTTTCTATTTATATTTATACGGTCGCGGCCCCTCGAGATTCTTCCGTGTCTCTGAATCAAACAACGCTCGGGACTAAAGTGGCTCCGTGTTTTCGGATTTTTCTTCATCACTTGTTGAGCATCAAATTAATATCAACCACATCTATCTAAAAAAAAATACTCTCAGTCTTTGGAAGAAGTCGTGAAACAAACTCAGCGCGTCCACAAAAGCACGGTCAACGGTTGCTTACACTTTGCTTACTTAAAAGGAAACTCTAATAAAGAGAAAAAAAAATCTACAGGCAAGATTGCAATTTGTACTGAAATTAAAATCGATACTGTCGACTTTTCCTCCAAAACTTGATCAAGTTTATCTATCATTTCTCGTTACATTTTTAATTGGTTTACGTCATTGAAATATGTCTGAAAACAGCGTAAAGATACACAAATTTTGCAATTTAGATTCAAAATGTTTATAGCCATCAATTTATAGAAAAAAAGCACTGGAACTTGTCAGCAGTATAGCATTAAATAATATTAATATACAAATCGTATCGGTTGGTCGTAGCATAATTTTTTTTTTTCCGTGAATTTTTATCTCATTATTCAGGAATTAAACAGAAGGTTACGCTTGTTTAGCCATAACGCCACTTGTCTTTTGTTATCGACTAGTAGAAGAAAGTGATTAGAGGAGGCCACGACCCTCAGCACTGAGGATTATCGACGCAAGGAGGAGGAGTCGAAGAAATTTGCCGTTTCATACAGTAACATTTTGCATATTACGGTGATAGGGAGTGCTGTAAGTCGTAGCGGGCAGGTGCTGCCTATTTTTGTCGAGAGGCAGTCACTTGTTCCGGCTTGAGAGGCACCACACTATTCTACCCCAAAAGCTATATTGCCTCGGGAATTTATTTTATAAAGCTTACCTATTAGATCTGAGCAAATGTTTTATACCACTCATGTATGTTTGCTGACGACCAAAAAGCTCTCTCAGAGATTATAAACTTAAACGACAGCCGCAAAATGCAGCAAGACAAAGATAAATTTCAATTACTTTCTTATAAACAGGTTCTTTGTAAATGTCTCAAAACATGGGTTATTTACATTTATGAAGAAGTCTATAGATTACAATGAACATTTAAATATAAGAAAGTAGACTCTGTTAGGGATCTAGGTTATACTAAAATGATTGAAATGAAATGATTTAAATAAATTTTATGGAAACGTATAACCAATTAGATTTTATTAGGCACGTTTATAAACAATTCAACATTAACTATTTATCCTGCAATAGGCATGTAGTATTTGATCTCAATCTTTTTTTTTTTTTATTGATTAGATCGGTGGACGAGCTCACAGCCCTCCTGGTGTTAAGTGGTTACTGGAGCCCATAGACATCTACAGTGTAAACGCGCCACCCACCTTGAGATATAAGTTCTTAGGTCTCATGTATAGTTACAGTAATCTTTGATAGTCACATTAATTATCTCGACTCAATACAACATAAACTACATAAAAAGTGTACATAAAATACACTTAATCCAAAAATTCAATGGCGCAGAAGATAAAAAATTTAAAAGGAGGGTTTACGAAGAAATTACGATGAAGAAAGGAAATTCTATCTTCAATTTACTAATCGACGTTAATAGCGAAAAGTCGAACGGGTGAAGTAAAGTATCGTTTGGAGAATCGCGTTTGCAATTACTATATTAAAATTAAAGTTGGTTTTTTACTGGTGGTAGGACCTCTTGTGAGTCCGCACGGGTAGGTACCACCGCCCCGCCTATTTCTGCCGTGAAGCAATAATGCGTTTCGGTTTGAAGGGTGGGGCAGCCGTTGTAACTATACTGAGATCTTAGAACTTATATCTCAAGGTGTGTTGGGCATTTTACGCTGTAGATGTCTATGGGGTCCAGTAACCACTTAACAGCAGGTGGGCTGTGAGCTCGTCCACACATCTAAGCAATAAAAAAAAAAAAAAGGAAAAACTGCTTTTATTAATTCGTAGAGGAGTGAACGAATTCATAGACCACTTTGTGTCATATGAATACCAGAGCCCATATACGTCAGAAATTGAATGCCATTTTCAACCTTAAGAAATGAGTACGAAGTCTCAAGCTTATAGTATAGTGTCTGTTTCATCCTATTTTATAATATTTATAATATACATATATAATATATCGTGTGTATTGTACCTATTTCAAAGAAAATATAAAGAAAAACCTTTATCATTTAATACCCTTAAGACTATTTAGTTTAAAAAAAAGATTTTTCTTAAAAGTAATTACTCCCCTGTCTGTCATTCAGTAAAAAGAGTAGTTCAGTTTCGCATTCTATAATAATACTGTTTAAAATATTAATGTTAAAAGAGATAAAGGGCTTTAAATGTTATTTTCTTGTTATTGTACAGAAAACGCAATTAAGTATTTTATTGTTAATTCATTCTGGAGTATTCTATATCATTATAATAATTTTACAAAGAGTCTAATACATTAATTAATAATTGGTGTTTACAAATTTACCGGAAATATTCATCAACAGACAATCATGGATACTGCAGTGATAAATCGCTTCAATGGCAATATAAATATAGAATAGTCACGCTCCATTAGAGCCATGTCTCTAGCTTATTTATTATCACAGAGGACATGTTTGTTTTTGAATTTAATAAACTACTGCAATACTGTTCTATTTGCGAATTCTTAAAACGTTAGCCGCCGAAGAGAACAAAGATTCATTTTCACTTGACTAGGACAAAAGTCTGCATCGGTGTAATCAAAACGGCAGCTTAATACGATTCGCCTCGTTTAAAAATTTATCGCCCAGACGTCAGAAAGGCGAAGTCTAACTCTAGTATTTACCGTCATTACTGCCGCGTAATGACATGCTCTGTCAAACTAAACAAACTGTCCACAATGACGTTTGGTTAATGACGAGTCATTTGTACAATAATTCAAAGCGTGGGCTGTAAAAGGATGTCAAAGGTGCTGATGGTGGACTATATTGTGAACTAATCCCTACCTTACCATTTGCATGCATATTGTTATCAAGCAACACTTCCGGCCTCACTTAGTCTTATAATATTAGTAATTTCATAAGACAGCTTCCGGCGCAATAAGCCTTAATGTTATTTATATTAAATAATTCGATATTATTAAATAATAATTATACGTAAATAATCAGCAGAATGATTAAGATAAACAATGTTTAATATTACCTACTAAGTTTGTATTAAAATAGGTCAAGATGATTGTATAAAATTAAATACCGGCGGTTAGCATATCTCTGTTGCATTCGTATTCTACCCACCGTAACGTGTACTAAAGAGAATATATTAATTCGTGTGGATGTAAATTGTCTCAATAGTTGCCGCCACCCTGAGGATCCGTTTATAATGTGTATGTATTTCTACAGCAGTAATAGTTACCTCTTAATACAATAACTTAATATTCCCACAATGATCGAAATTCAACCGTAATCACGACATATCAAGATTCATTTTGATTCATTCTCATGATATACCCATTCAATATTAATTTCATTTAATAAATTCCCTTTTTTATTGACATTAATTAATAAGGCTAATTCTGATACATTTATTAAAAGTCTCGATTCACGGAGGAAATGGTATTTTACTATTTCACCATTGTCGTGTTATAATAATTAAGCATAGACTGTATTTTGTGTATGAAATATTTATTGAACCTTCATATTACCATTTAAAGACTTAATATAAGAGAAATATAAAATTGATCCGTTGCTCTTGGCGGCTGACATTTTGACGTTCAAAAACTAAACAACCATTTTTATGTGTAGACAACACTTTAATCTGAAAATTAAGAAAACTGTACTACTGATATTTCCTACTCGTGCTTTAAGAAAGAAGCTACATTATATAATATGAATATTAATCACGCATAT